AAACGACGCTGACGGAAGATATCCGTTAGAAAACTGTCGCCATATTCGGGATGGTCAGGAACTGTCGGAATGCAATCCTATCACAGTCTGTGTCCCGATTATCCCGTTCTAACTTCGATTCTAATCCGATTTGCATCTTTCCCATGGTTAAAAACGACCAAATCTATCCCGACAGCGTCTTGATTCTTCCGAATGCGATCCGACAGAAATCAGACAGTGACAAGACAGTGAACCGACGACGAAGGAAGATATCCGTTAGAAAACTGTCGCCATATTTGGGATGATCAGGTACTGTCGGAAGGCAATCCTATCACAGTCTGCTGCACAGCATTGCAAACGGCTTTGTCTTGACTCAGTCGTATCGTGTTTTGTAATTGTCGGGACTTAGACGAGGGTATTATTGCCGAATTTCGTATTAATAATGGGACTGTTCCGGAACGGTTTCGTCAGAGACGGTTCGCATTCGGGATGCAATCTGAACTCAATCGGCAAAAAAAAACAGCAATGACAAATCTCTCCAGATCATGCCCGTTCCACATGACACCATCCAGAAAACACAGAACATTGTTACGATTTTGATCCAATACAGCACAATCTATCACGACATAATCACGATTGTAATCCGACTAGATACAATCGCATGTGATTTCCCGAATGTTACGGGACGAACCTTACTGTCGGGGGTGCTTGGCCGACCTCTCCGATCCGTAGGAATCTGTAACGAACGTTTACTACAGCGTTCATGCAATAATAGGACATTCCAGATCATTGAGGATAGTAATCCGACTTTTTCACTTTTTGTGTCTAAGAGTTGTCTAATCTCAAATGGGAGCAATAATCGGCACTGTGTGAACGCCGCATTAATTGAATACATATTCGATTATTTCGACTAATTCACGCAACAAGCTAGACCGTATCAACAATACTCGATCTCAGCCCGATCTCGACCAGACCAGATCAACCTGGTCGTATAAGGGTCGTAGTGGTAGTCGGGAATTGATCGGATATGTACAATTTCAGTTTAAGAAAACGTCTGAATTTTTGATGCCCCACCTCACCGGATTAGGCAGTAAGTGTTACCTGTGTCCGTATGTACGCACGTACGTCCCCACAATTAGTTCTCTAACTTTAGTTTGCCTTGACCAAATGTTAAAAAACGTAAACACAATGCTTATGACAATAAAACACAGATCAAGTGCGAGTTTGGGTGGCGTCACCTTTTCCGTTCTTGATTAATGACCCTTTATAACGTTATATGCAAGCGAGTCATTATCTGTGCAACATGTCCTATTGACACATTCTCCATAAGTAAAATCATACATTTATAAGATATCTACAGAGAAATAAAGCAATTTGATTTGTGGGCAAGGTGGTTAGACCTCCAGAGAGACATGTTTATAGCTAAGATGGAGCTTGAAGAGAGCGTGGAAGACGAGCAAGAAGCGGCACAGACAGCAACGAGCACCGGGAAATCTAGGTGAGGCAGTGGCGACAACTATATGTGCAGAACGAAAAACTTGCAGGAGCTTAACAAAGAGGTTATAAAAAACCCTCCTTAGAGTGGACGCAGATATGTACTGAAGTTTTCACTGCTCTTTTCTTGAAAACTACACCACCAAATGAGATTTGTCACCGGATTGGTACTTATGTTAGATAGCAATATACTTAAATTTTTCCATACCGTTTTCCTTACTTTTTTACAAATCAAGCTTACTGTTTATGTCATATATGTGCATATGCATGTAATCAGTATTGTCCATAGATTTGATATCAGTAGTTGATTGGTTAAAGATAATTTTTTTTTTTCTTGTGAAAGTCATGGAAACAACCTGCATGTATTTGCTAAAATATATTGTAAAAAGGGGAGACAAAGATGTCACATATTTCCCCAAAATTTGGCCAAAAGGAGAATTTTAATCCGTTGGAGTGATAAGAGATCAAATGAAATCATTAGTCTTTCGTCTCATTTTTTTTTTTGAAATTCCGGTAAAAGGTTCGTGTGAAAAAGTGATTGTAAACATTCGGCCGTATGGTGACCTATAATTTCTGTATTATTTGGTGTTTTGTGGAGAGTTTTCTCAATGGAAATTATAACACATCCTCTTATTTTGATTCTACAAACCCTTCCGGAGCACCTGGTATCATCTAAGTGTTTTGTTGGGTTCTGTGTTGCTAAGTTTTTAGTTTTTCTATTATGTGTCAGTGGAGTGCTGTTTGTCTTCTCGTCGGTTTTTTTTCGCCATGGCTGTGTCGTTTGGTTTTCTACTTTTGCGTTTGATTGTTATTGGTTCTTTTGCTTTTAAAATTTTAACCCTCCTTGCAGGAGTACAGAAAAGTACTGTATATGGAGGAATTTTTGCAGAGCTAATTTTTTGTACATATAAAAATAAACAATGACAATATATTTTTGCGGGAGCAAAGTCATGAGAGTTAATCAGATCTGCACATCCTTTTAGGGAGTTGTGTAGCAGTCATATGTACTCGAGTATGACCGAGTAGAGATCGAACAGTGGTCGAATGTGGTCAAGTAGAGATCGTGTTTTTGTCGAGTTGGTCTGGAATAAAAAAAAATAATAGAAGTCGTTGTGATTTGGACGCGATCGGGCATTGGTCGAGATAATCTGGACCACACATTAAACAGGTTGGCGTTCATCGGGAAATGATCGAATATTAGTCGAGCAAAGGTCAAGATTGATCGAGTACTGATAGGTGAAATATTTGTATTCCGACCAAACTCGATCTCTACATGACCCTTTCCCGATCAATTCGACTGCTACTCGACGAATACCCGATCTTTTCTAGAGTAATTGGCTTTTCGATCCTTGCTCGAATGTTTTTGACATTTCAAAAATTCTCGGGTAGATAGTAAGATCGATGACGAGCAAGGTAGACAACCCCGAACATTCTTGTCGATTGAGTCAGACCAGTCTCCGGATCAGTTTATCTGTCTTGATCGGTCTTGATCGAGTTGATCTGATCGGCAGTGTGAACCTAGCTTTAAGGTCAACACTTAGCCTAAATAGGTCGAGACAGGTTGAGACTTATCGAGACAGGTCGAGACTGAGTCAAGACAGGTCGAGACTGGTTGAGACTTTGTCGAGACAATTTCAGACTACACCAAATGTGTCAAGTATTGAATCAGACTTATTAAGTGAAGTCGAGACCAGAGTCGAGTACACTTTAGTACTGTCGAGATTATGTCGAATTTTATTAAGTAAAATCTGTGCTCGACTTTACTGGGTACAAAATATGGTCTTTTCAAACTCTGAGGAGTTTGTAGTGATATGATTTGATATTTTCATTATAATTCCGTTTGAAAAAAAAGCATCCAGTTTCAAAGCGTCCCTCCAATATCTTATATAAACATTTTAGTTTTCTAAAAATCCAAAAACCGACATTTATGTTGAAAAAAGCATCCTTTCTCAACAAAGCATGAGATATTTTTCTAATATCCTATTACTAGTAGGTTCACATTTTAGATTAATATTCATAAATAGTCATATGTATTGGCGATTATTGGTATGACATACATGGATATATCTGTCCCTCTGAAATTATTATGACCAACTTTTGTAGAAGTTGTGTAAAACTTTCGATTTAAACCGAGGCACTTATGAATTATGTAAAACGCTAAATAATATCTCACGTTTGACTTAATGTGGTCAATATCTTATCATTTCAAAATGACCATGGAACTCCTACGTAGTCAATAAGCCAACCCTCCTATAAATTAAACAACAACTGTTGACGAATTTCATTTCAATTCTGCAATTTTGGTGAGAAGGTCTTAACATGTTTAGGTATTGTTGCATCTTTCTCGCTGTCCACTGTGTTTTAGGTGGTAATTTGGTTGAGGTGCTCCAAGCTAATAACAAGTCAAAACTGATCCAGTATGCGACAGCATGTGGATTAGCTGATACCATATTAGGAGGTAAAATAAATATATCCATCAACTAGTTCATAATATATGTGTTAATATGTGTGTTTTCGAGAGTTGAAAAGGAAGAGTTGTTCGAAGATTTTTACGAAGGATCGTACAAAGTTAAAAATAAGTCAAATGAAATTTTCCTAACTACAATTGATAGATTCTACTACTATAAGGTTCATCAAATATTTTGAATATCAATAAAAGTATGACATTATATTTTTATCATTTATTGTTTGTTAGTACTTTTACCGCAATATAGTGTCTTATTAAGGAGAACTGCATTAGCATATAAACAAATATAAAAATAAGCCAGATTGTTTTTCCACGCGCTTAAAATCTAATTCAAAATATTCCAAAAACCAATAAATGTCAACAAACAATGTTTAACTGAGGTTATTGTGATGTCATTACTAATTGAATGTGAAGCTATAAATTTTGAATATTTTATGTTTTGTTTTGCCTTGTCTTATTTTCGATAGTGAAATGAATAAGAATCTTATACATGAGATTAAGCTAAATATCAAACTAGTTTGAATTACCACTATCCTCTGAAAATGTAAGTACAAAGTTAGGAATATGACAGGTTTTTAGTTCCGTTGTATGATATACTATAGTGTTTGATTTGTAAAGTTTTGTGGCATACACCACCTTTTGTATTTTCCTTTTAGTTTGGTTTTCTTGTTAGTTCGTTTTTGTTGCATTGTATTACAAATAAAAGTTTTAGGAAATCAAAAGGTCCTATTGTCAAATAGAGTTCAAAATAGAACGAATGATGTGTGATTTAGTCATATCGAATATGATTTTGACTAATTCTCTTGTTGTCCGTCGTTATTTTAGTATTTTTACCTTAAAAAAAGTTTGTTATTCGTAAATTGTCATGCATTTTTATTGTTTCTCTCTTGTTGTCTGTATGTCTATGTTTTTGCAGTTATTCCTTGTTGTCCGTCTGTCTCATATGGCTTGTGTTTGAAATTCATAGTTGATATTGTAAACTTTAACTGTTTGCATATTATGATAAAAAGTTTACCTTAACTATTTTGTCAAGAAACACCAGTTTCTGAATTCCTTTCAGGAACATACACCATCTTTGCACCCACAAATGCTGCATTTGATGCACTCGGAACTGAACAAGAACTTCTTTCTGATAAAACTGTTCTTTCTACTATATTATTGTATCACCTGACAAATGGAGTTATACGGAGCACAGATGCGCAGAATGAACTAACAGTAGAATCGGTTGCTGGACTGAAAATCAGATTTAATATTTACCAGCATAGGCATAACAAAGTTAGTGTAATCCGTTTATAAGGTTATTGTTTATGTTTCAATTTTTTTGCAGACTGTGATTGCAATGTGTAATGTATTTATCTGTATTTTGAGATGAAACCTATATCTATTGTTATACACAATGTTTTATCTCTAGCTTTGGAAACCCTAATTTTTTATGTACATATCATACGAATCATTGCCTACTATTTACATTAAAACATGTAAGCATCATTTATATGTGTATTACGAGCATTTACCTTCTTGATTTTATTGACTTTTTCTCGTATCCAAATACATTTGTACTGAATTGCATAACTATACAAATAATTAATCTGAAACTTGTCTTATTTCATCTTTTATATAGGCAGTTACAGTTGAAGGTTCCAAAATTTCAAAGTTTGACCTGAATGCTTCAAATGGGATCGTCCATGTCATTGACAAAGTAATGATACCACCTACCGGAGGAATTGTCGATCTCGTATCAGGAAACAAAGATCTAAGCACATTATTTGCATTATGCAAGAGAGCAAATATTACAGGAATTATTCAAAGTTAGTATCGTGTATTTATTTCATAAAATTTAAGTTCACCAACAAACAAACACAAATGAACAAAACAGCATCAATTCCTTACTACTTTGTTTGTTGTCTGTGTCATCAACTTCTTGGATTGAAATGTATTGACATGATATTTTTCAAGCAAAGAATGCAAACACGAAAAGAATGTTCTTTTTCCAATAAATCATAATATTATCTTAATCATGAGAATCGCTATGCATTGTCAATGACAGCTTAATTTTTACACACAGGTGATCCTTTAACAGTATTTGCACCAACAAATTCGGCATTTGATAGATTATCTGCAAATGTTTTAAGCCAAATACATGATGATACAACTAAACTTAAAGGTAAATATGAATACATGTAGAATAATCGTATTTGTTTATTAACAACTCTATGTATTTCTTATTTAATTTTGTGGACATAAACTTAATTTCAAACAAACATATAGCTTATGTAACTTTGTGTTGTTGAATGAAGAATTGTAAACTCAATTCGTTACAAATTAAAAAGGATATATATATATTTATCTATATACCTTGCCTACATAAATGTTACGAATTTCAGCTTGATAAACGTACTAGCATTGTTAAATGTTTTTTTGCGGGTTTTGTTTGTTTTTTTTGTTTGTTTGCTGTCAACGATAAAGACATATTTTATGTCACGTTCCAACAACAGCAATAATTGAATCCTTACACTTTGTATTATAGAGCTTTTAGAATATCATTTAGTACCACATACAGAATATTCACTTGGTTTATATAACAAAGAACATCTCAGATCGTTGGATAAAAAAAGTGCATTACTTCGTCTAAGTGTGTCAGGTGAGATATATCAAATATTCTAACATGACGTTCTTCCAACGCTTTGAGTACACACCCGTGGTAAAATATGAATATATTGTTTGGGCTGTTCCGATCGTACTCCCGCGTCATATGCTTTTTTGTGAATGAGCTACCCGACGTCATAGAACGATGACGTAAGAATATAAGCATTTTACGGGAAAATACACGCTTGTGAAACCGAAAATCATCACAACAAGGAAACGTAAACAAACGATGCTAAAATGCGTTATATAAGCCTTTTTTGTATACATATAAGACATATAAGTACAATTATCATTTAGATTCATCCAAACCTATCTAAATATGTTATTGTAAATAGTTTTAGAATGTCATTTATTCAGTTTGCTCCGGTCTTTTACGTCAATTTAATAGTGCGTTTATTTATGGGAACGGCAAATAATAAAATTGAGAATGGAAATGGGGAATGTGTCAAAGAGACAACAAGCCAACCATAGAGCCGACAACAGCCGAAGGCCACCAATGGGTCTTCAATGCAGCGAGAAACTCCCGCACCCGGAGGCGTCCTTCAGCTGGCCCCTAAACAAATATGTATACTAGTTCAATGATAATGGACGTCATACTAAACTCCAAATTATACACAAGAAACTAAAATTAAAAATGATACAAGACTAACGAAGGCCGGAGGCTCCTGACTTGGGACAGGCGCAAAAATGCGGCGGGGTTAAACATGTTTTTTGAGATCTCAACCCTCCCCCTATACCTCTAGCCAATGTAGAAAAAAACAAACGTACAACAGTACGCACAGTAAAACTCAGTTTAAGAGAAGTCCGAGTCCGATGTCAGAATAGGAAACAAAAGAAAATAAACAAAAATGACAATAATACATAAATAACAACAGACTACTAGCAGTTACTGACATGCCCGCTCCAGACCCTAATTAAACTGATTGAAAGATTATGTCTTCATCATATGAATATCAGGCACAATCCCTCCTGTTAGGGGTTTAGTATTATACCGTCATAAAATATATGAGAAGAACACAACCCGTGTCATGCCAACAACTGGTTTTAGAATAAATATGTTTAATTCCGATGCAAAGACCCTATAAGTGAATCAATATTAAAGCCAAAATATGCAATCTTTAATGACCTGACAACAGTATCGTAACTATATCCCTTTTTAATAAGTCTGTTTAAAGGTTTTGTTAGCTTTTGAGGTGAATACTGGCATTTTTGTGCTTTGTAAAGAATATTACCATAAAAGATTGGATGTGAAATACCCGAACGTATAAGATGTCTGCATGTTGAGTTATATTTACGAATGATGTCCTTATACCGATGATAAAGTTTAGTAAATGTTTTGACTAGTTTATGATAACGAAAACCCTGGTGTAATAATTTTTCAGTAATATATAAATTTCTCTCGCTAAAATCTAATACGTTGTAACATACACGAGCGAATCGTACAAGTTGAGATATATAAACACCATAAGAAGGTGACAAGGGAACGTCACCATCTAAAAATGGATAATTAACGATAGGAAATGAAAAATCATCTCTTTTATCATAAATTTTTGTATTAAGCTTCCCGTTAATGATATAGATATCAAGATCGAGGAAAGGACAGTGGTCATTGTTAGTATTAGCTTTATTTAAAGTAAGTTCAACAGGATAAATTTCTTTAGTATACATACTGAAGTTGTCATTATTGAGAGCCAATATATCATCCATGTCAATGTCCTATATCCCCTTCGCCTTACGAACCTGGAGATAGAAAACAGGAAATACGAGCCCATATCCCTTGTTAAGATCCAAAATAAAATATAATATTAAAAAGAATTTAGAAGAAGTAAGGAAAGGTTTTCATAATCAGGTAGCAATCTTCATATATCTCATGTTCTTAAACAGAAGCTTTAAATTGAGAAGTATTCTCATTGGAAAAATGTGCACTACATTTTGTGAATATCGCAAATAGAAAGAATTCAAGGACTAACATGCATTCGTTTTAGACTTTGAAATTGGTCTCAGGCGTACTGGAAGTTTCTTAAGATTTCAAAAACTAAATTCTGTTAATTTATGAATAAATATCAATGATTTCAATTGATACTGTTTGCTAGCACTTTCAAGGCTTTAACAAATCTCAAGACTTGCATGCATTAGTCTTAGAATAAATAGTAGCTTCCTTCTGACTCACGTTTATACTAAGGAACCTACTAAAGATATAAATGAGGAACAGGACCAGAACATATTGCAACAAAAGTTATTTTAAACATTTGAGCCGAGATAAAACTTTCGTATAAATAATCAGAATTATAAAAGATATCTTTTATAATTATATACGTAATGTACATTTCATTTTACAGAAAAAGGAGTGTCAGTAGACTCATATGCGCACGTTATAAAACCTGATATTACAGCTACAAATGGTGTTGTACACGTGATTGATCATGTACTTCTTCCATACCGAATTATGTATGGCTTTGGAAAATAGTATAATTATAACTTACAACAATGTGCTGATTACACTATAAACTGTACATATGTAATTAATGTAAATACATTTTATTAACACTTACATATTCTATGTATCCAATTTTGTCATTATGTAATAATTAAAAGTCAAATGAAATTCAATGTGTATTTTATGTAGTTTTCGGAGATGTTTGCATATACAGGATAAAAAAACATCGCACTTTATAACATTGTACAATAAAGTTTAACAATCTCCTGCGTTTGTCCTAGTTTATGACATAGTCGATGGAGTTAATACGACTTTTTTTTAGCTTTTCAATTTATACTATGAATAATGTTGATGAATAAGCTGTATCTTACCCATCTTACAATTCTATATGTTTAAGGATACAAAATCAACAGCAAAACTTGTACCGAAGCCATTTCAAATATAATAATAAGTGACTATCATGTAAAGAAATTAAAACGTATGATACCGAGTGTTTTGCTCACAAAACCTACTTTATAACCAAGTACACCCCATGCAATAGTTTTGGACAACAATCCGTAAGTAGTACGAAACATAACAGTGAACAGATCAGATCAAACATGTTTAAAGTACCGATATCGCTTGCAAACCGCGCATCAAGTTGTTCATTAGTTCTAATAAGTCCTTGGATGGTGTAATCTTCCCACTAACATCATACACAATTACACCATTCACCACACATCATTACACCATACATCATGTGCCTTTACACCATACACGTTACACCTTTGCACCATACACGTTACACCTTTGCACCATACACCTTACACATAACACCATAATGCAATTTAATTTCAAAGAAAGCGTGCGACTACAACATTATTTATTTATTTTAAAAAACGAATTTTGATCACAATATTGTAAATTTATGTATGAAATTAAAAATCAGTTCTTTAAATGTCGTACAACATTTATGCACACCATTCGCACGTTACACCATTACACCATTCCCCTTACACCGTACACCATAACACCATACACCTTCTACCATTGCACCATATGACATACACCATTTCACCATACACGTTTTTTGGGAAGTTTATACCATCCAAGGGCTGTATATTATCTTGGAAGCTGTCATTCACACTACCCAAATAAGATGTTAAGATGATTAACTTTCTCTCCCTTCCATAATTGAAGTGCATAATTTTCATATTCTATACTTCAAGAAATCTTTTATTTTTTAATTGGTGAAACCTGTACTACTAACTAGTTAATAGGGTTTTATTGTCATATTATAAACGCCATCCTTATTTGTTTTACTGAACAAATGATCAGTATACTGGAGGTTCTTATTTGCAACACATTTAATGAATTTTGTCACCTTAATGACGTGTTACAGTGTTCTCTTATGTGTCTTTATAAAAATGTTTGACTGATAATTAATTGTCTTATTGTGTGCTATGGTACATTTTTTTTCTTGTCTTCCGTTTTTCTTAATGTGACTATATATTTTTTTTTCTTTGTTGACATATTTGTTTGTTTTTATGGTGATTAAGATTATAATCCACTGTTGACTGCTGTACCCCTATTGTTGACGTTTTTACCTACTATGTCTATAGATATAAGAAGATGTGTTATGAGTGCCATCCAACTCTCCATCCAAGTCACAATTTATAAAAGCCAACCATTATAGGTCGAAGAACGTCTTCAACAAACAGGAAAACCAATGATCTAATATATACAAAAAAAAGGAAACGAGAAAATTATAGAAAGACACACTATAAAATATCTATTCAAATGGCTTAACTGAATCAAAAGACATATTAACTAAATCAAGTGAAAAAAAAAACGCTGAACGAATAAATTTGATCTATGACAAAACGTAAAAACAAAATTAATAAAAATAAAGGGGGGGGGGGGTAAATGTAAAAATAAATATCAGAAAGAAAACCATAACCTTGGACAAAATGCCGCCAAAGGAAATAACGTACATAGGTATATTAGAATAATTTTGTTGTCAGGTATATGGAGTACGAAAATAAGTTTTAACAAAATAAATGATTTTATTGTTCATAGTACGAGAACGGAAGTGCAAATTTATGGTCATACTAAACACTTATCAAAGGTGGTATAGATTAAAAATAGTGAGACGAGATATAACACTTAATAAGTAAACATTAAATAAAAAAAATACTTTACAAATTGTATCAACAGTTCAACTTAACACGAAAGTACGATTTGGGAGTATTCGCAGTTATTGAGAGCTAGTGAAAAGCCAAACACATTTGATAATAAAATTTGTTTGTTTATGTTCACACATTGTTGTCAATGTAATGGAATTTAATGCGACTATCATACAAGTGAAAGATTGAGCTAGCTATAAAACTGCTTTAATCCACCGTTTTCGTCATCAGAACATGCCTGTATCACATAAAAAATATGACAGTTTATATCCATTAGCTTGATGTTTGTGAGCTTTTGATTTTGCAATTGCATTATCACTCTCCGTTTTTAATTTCCTCCGTGTTCGGTAGTTATGTTATATTACGTTTTGATACATCTTCTCTGCCAATTATCACTGATATTTTCTACTAGTTTTTGTCGCAGTCCAATCCTTGTTTCCCAAATTACGACATTCCCGATCATGACTTAATATCGAAATTGTCCTTGACAATACAGACTATGACGTTGTCAGTTTGTTTCCGATCTGTGAGTTTGACTGTCCCTCTGGTATCTTTCGTCCCTCTTCTATGACATGTACCACTGGTTAAATATAAAATTCTGCTTACTCTTAATATCAGCTGGATCCACCTCACTATTATTTTTTTAAAGACGTTTTTGTTGAGTTCTTCCAAATTCAAGTACCATTCAGTTTTCTGTGTAGTATCTGAGCTGTTGTAATTATTAAAGGGGCACTAGCTACGAGATATATAAAATATATAAAATATGATTTTTTTTGTTCACTCATTAATGAAAGTGAAATAGGGAAATGATATACCGCTTTTAGCATCCCTTTGTTAATTTTACGAACGCCATCACGGGTTTGTTGAATGTTATGGAATATCCGTTTCACAGATGATAACGGATATGTTCCTAACGAAAATCCCGTCCCCTTTTCACGAATGTGACTTACCGAATTAGACTTGTCAACAGGTTTGTACTAGCATGAGCAATACGACAGGTGCGACATGTGGAGCAATATCTGCTTACCTTTCCGGAGAACCTAAGATCACCTGATGGGGTTCGTGTTGCTTAGTCTTTAGTTTGCTATATTTCGTTGTGTGTACTATTGTTATCTGTTTGTCTTGTGTTTCAACCATGGTGTTGTCAGATTATTTTCGATTTATGAGTTTGAATGTCCATCTGTTATCTCCCGCCCCTCTTTAAGTTGGCCTTGATTTAAGAAAACAATAAAAAAAAACAATTGATCAAACCACAGCTCAGATATATAGATTCTACCACTGCATCGAATGTGATACGATTTTTATCCACTCGAGACAGTTTAATTTTCAAATTTAAATCTCGAGGTTCGCCAAGCATTTTAAATATTTAAAATCTAACTGTCGAGACTGGATAATATCGTATTATACAAGATTTGTTGGTTGAATCTGTTTCTTTAATGATTTTTAAAAAATATGCAAACAAACTTTTTCCTTCTTCCAATTGATCAGCAAAAAGATGAGTTCTATCTATGTGACGTCATCAGGCATGGTCGCCCTTTTTCATGTCGTCACAATAGGAAATTCAGAGGAAAGCGAGACAATTCGACGTCATTATCGAATTTTGAGCAATGAAGAACTGAGAATTTAAGGATTAATTCTTCTGATGTTTGAGTCTTGTTGAAATCTTGTTCGGGAATTTAAAAAAAATAGTGAACTAGCAATAAGTAGTTTTAATTAATAAAATTCTTATATATGTATTTTTTCAATCATTCATAATAAAAACAATTGATATGATATGCTTATTGTTTAAAGAAAAAGTCCACTTCATCTTTATTGAAAGTATGAAAAAAAAATTAATTGTAAAACTGGGATTTTATTTATGATAATAGCCCAAAGATGGTTAAAAATGATGAAAAATCATACAAATGGGGTACTTTCAAATGGTCGTAGCCAAAAAAGAAGTGCACCACCATATGATTTATTTTCCCTCAACTACTTTCTGATATTCATCATCAGTCATATAAACCCAGAATATCAGGCTTAGAAAAACAACTTAATACTAGAAATTAATGGTGCCTCAGAGGTGTCCATCTTTAACTAGTTTTGCAAAAAAGAAGCAATAACGTTTTGATCTCCCTACCATTTAAAGCACTGTTACACGTCTGACACCCACCTCTTTTCATTGTCTATGATTTTATATTCATTAAAATATTGCCCTCCCTTTTAAAGCGGTTTATGTTGATTTAAACAGCCTTCGACGTCAGCATCATAAAATTCAATAATGACGTCGAAGCACAAACATGTCGGCATTCACCTCAAAAGCTAACCAAACCTTTATACAGACTTATTCGGAAAGGATATAGTTACGATACTGTTGTCAAGTCATTAAGGATTGCATATTTTGGTATTAATATTCATTCACTCATAGGGTCTTTACATCGGAAATTAACACGTTTATTCTAAAACCAGTTGTTGGCATGATACGGGTTATGTTCTTCTCATATATTTTATGATGGTATGATACTAAACCCCTAACGGGAGGGATTGTACTTGATTTTCATATGATGAAGACATAATCTTTCAATCAGTTTAATTGAGGTTTGGAACTGGCATGTCAGTACCTGCTAGTAGTCCTTTGTTCATTTATGTATCATTGTCATTTTGCTTAGTTTCTTTTGTTACCTATTCTGACATCGGACTCGGACTTCTTTTAAACTGAGTTTTACTGTGCGTATTGCTATGTGTTTCTTTTTTCTACATTAATTCGAAGTATAGGGGGAGGGTTGAAAACATGTTTAACCCAGCCGCATTTTTGCGCCTGTCCCAAGTCAGGAGCCTCTGGCCTTTGTTAGTCTTGTATGTTTTTTAATTTTAGTTAATTTATATGTTTTGGATTTTAGTGTGACGTCCATTTTTACTGAACTAGCACACAATTTTATTAAGGGGCCAGCTGAGGACCACCTGCTGGTGCGGGATGTTCTCGCTGCATTGAAGACTCATTGGTAGCCTTCGGCTGTAGTCTGCTCTTTGGTCGGGTTGTTGTCTCTTTGACATATTCCCCATTTCCATTCTCAATTTTAATCATATTACACTCATTTCAGAGATTGAATTATACGTCAGATACGTCCTGGGAATATTCAATTTTACTCTACATACTATGTCCAACATTTGATTGGTTGAGTTAAATAGTAAACTTTATGGATACATCGGATATGTTGAAGGAACATTCCATTTATGATGCTGTCGTTTCATTGGCTGCTCGATACGTAGAGAAGCTACTTAGTACTGTTACGTGTTATGTTTCGTGGTAAATAGCGGGCCTTGCTCGAATTCAGTTACTCGTCATATGATTGCCTTAGCTATACGTATATTGATTTACAGAAACTTTTCCGAGATATTTTATTTTAAGTCTCTATAGAGTTATATTCAAAATATTGATTATTCGTTAATATTTCACATGATCAATTTTCAAAAGTTTTATACATTAAAATCTAAATCATGCGTAGTATGAAAATATAAAAAATACTATTTTGTTTAATTTTCGTTTTTTTTACAAGAAAATTAAAAAAAATGTTCTTTTACGATAGTAATGTTTAGTTATATTAAAAAAAGAAGTATGATTGCCAATGAGACGACGACTATCCAAAATAACAATGAAAAGAATTTAAACATCTATAGTTTAACATACATCCTTCTGACATGAGCAAGACCCAAACAGTATAGCCAAGTCCTGAACAAATTCTTGACATGGTAAAACAAAAATACTAATGGTCTGAGTGATGACAAAACAATAAACGAAAAACATATATGACAGACAGCAAACAATGATAACCACTGAATGACAAACTCCTGACTGGAGTCTGGCAGGTAAGGAATGTGGTGGTGTTAAACATGTTTTTAAAAGTCCATCCCATCGCTAACTTTGGACAGTTGTAAAAAAACACAAAAAAGACATGTTGTAAAATCAGTTGCAATAGGCTTGAATCGATCCACACGAATTTGAAAGGCTACATCAGCTTTAAATAATGACAAAAGACACAAAATACCGATCTAATGTTTGTAACAGGTATTGTATGCTAGTTTTTAACCAATAAACAATAATAAACAAATAGTTTTCTCCCAGACTAAAGTGTTTTGTGTCTGTGGTTTTGGTATTAGTTTTTAGTGTGCGCAAATATAAAATTTCAATCCTGGTATCTATGATGAGTTTATTTACAACCACTGGGTCGATGCCACTGCTGGTGGAGTATTAATTCCCCGAGGGTATCACCAGCCCAGTAGTCAGCACGTCTGTGTTGACGAGTTATCATTGATATGTTCATAATTATAAATAAACTGTTTACAAAACTTAAAATTTTTGAAATACTTAGGCTTTTCTACCTCAGAAATAGATAACCCTAGCTGTATTTGGCAAAACTTTTAGGAATTTTTGGTCCTCAATGCTCTTCAACTTTGTACTTTATTTGTCCTTTTTAACGTTTTTTTTATTCAAGCGTCACTGATTAGTCTTTTGTAGACGAAACGCGCGTCTGGCGCAAATATAAAATTTCAATCCTGGTATCTATGATGAGTCTATCGTACAGTTCTTGGTAAATGTTTTGTTATAAATTAGGTCATTATATTTCCGGTTTGAATTGTATTACATTTTGTCTTTCATGTCTTTGTATATCCCATTTTACGGCATGGGTTTTTGTTGAGGGCTGTACAGTGATCTATTATTGTTTATTTCCACTTATTAAATCTCTTATTTGCATCATACCACATCCCCTTATATATTAAGTATCACACAGTACTCATGTAGGTCATAGAATTATAAATAGTTTGTATGGGTGGATTTTACATAGATAAATAAAATCGTATCATAAAATTGCAATGAATGGGGTTGTTAAATTAGATGTATGCCTTTTGTGCTTCTTCTTACATTTGTTTGTTTTTATAGTAATTAAGATGATAACACAATGTTGACTGCTGTACCCCTATTTGTGACATTTTTACCCATTGTGTCTGTTTGATTTGTTCACGCATCGTTGTCAATATAATGGAATTTGATGCGAAAAAAGTCCCCAAAAATGGAAATATCAAAATGATAAACATAATCGAAATAATGTGGTAATATTACTATTTCAAAATAATTTCGTTTTCCTTTTTTGTGTTAGTTAATGTTATTCTTATGTTGCATACTTTAACAAATACATCGATCATTTAAAATCAAACTAGTTCTCGCTGAAAATCGGATGACAATTATGCCAAATCTGTAAACTTTTTAGCGTAGTTGCAAGTCCTGCATTTTGAACTTGAGTCATTAAAGTACTTAAATCCCGATAACCATATTCACAATGTTGGATTATAAAGGCAAATATGACCTTTTCAAATTACATGAACTACTCCATTGGGTGCTGAAAGGTCAAATAATGAGATATCAGAACCTTCAACAGTAACAGCTGAAAAAAGTATCACAAATATGAAAAATGTATCAAAAACTCGCTCTCCCTGAATAAGAAGTAAACAACAATGCTCAATATTTTGTTCGTTAATAGATAGACTGATATATTTGACGTTTATATATGATTTTAGAACACATTTTGACATTAACAATATGAATTAATTGTTTTCTCTATTTGAAATTTGTACATTTACTTGATTATGTGTGTATGTATTAAATCATATTTATGTTTCTAATGAGGTTTCTAAGGCATCAAATGCAGCATTAGTTGGTGCAAAGTTTGTGTATGTTGCTGGCAACAATTTATTGTAAAATATATGGTTAGCAGCTTCTATGAGGTACATAATTAGTGTCCGGGTAATCTTAAATATATGAATAAGGATATTTTTTTTCACTATGCATTAACTTTTTTCTGTCGCATTGATGATCTTTTCCAATTAGAATTTTCTATACTTTTGAACATAGAGGTTTTCGTAAAATACACTTCAGAAGAAGAAAATATGAAAAGAAGAATATCTAATATAGTATATAAACACATGAATGCTGCATAGATGGGTCTTTACGTTGATGCAGCAACTCTATAACTTATGTATAAATATATATCTTGTAAGTATATCATACAAGTGTATATATATATAAATATGCTCACACTTATCAGCGTTCTAGGGATAGACCACCTAATCCCGAAAATAACAATCGTTTTTAGGGGAAGGTCAGATGTGGAAAAACGAAGGAAAAAAGTCAACTTCCAAACTCCTCAAAGACAAAACCGAAGCTAATTAATCTATCGAGTAGAGATTTATCTGACCAGGAAATAAAACTTTTGAAACATTGTTTAAAATCTACCCCAACACCAATGTCTGACAATGTTGATCTTATAACCGATACCGACGAATTCTGCAGAAAACTCAGACTTCGTGAATTCTTTGGGAACACTAATCATGAAGATGGATCCCTTGTACGGAATAAAAAGGGTACTAATCCTCATCCGAATAGGGACAAACATTTAGAAGAATATATGAATTGTTTAAAACAAACCGCCAACACAAATAGTGTCGATACACATGTAAAATCAAATCTTCAGAAGGCTCAACAAACATAAAAATGAGAATGGAAATGGGGAATGTGTCAAAGAGACAACAACCCGACCATAGAACAGACAACAGCAGAAGGTCACCAACAGGTCTTCAATGCAGCGAGAAATTCCCGCACCCGGAGGCGTCCTTCAGCTGGCCCCTAAACAAATATATATACTAGTTCAGTGATAATGAACGCCATACTAAACTCCAAATTGTACACAAGAAACTAAAATTAAAAATAATACAAGACTAACAAAGGCTAGAGGCTCCTGACTTGGGACAGGCGCAAAAATGCGGCGGGGTTAAACATATTTATGAGATCTCAACCCTCCCCCTATACCTCTAGCCAATGTAGAAAAGTAAACGCATAACAATACGCACATTAAAATTCAGTTCAAGAGAAGTCCGAGTCTGATGTCAGAAGATGTAACCAAAGAAAATTAACAAAATGACAATAATACATAAATAACAACAGACTACTAGCAGTTAACTGACATGCCAGCTCCAGACTTCAATTAAACTGATTGAAAGATTATGTATTCATCATATGAATATCAGGCACAATCCTTCCCGTTAGGGGTTAAGTATCATACCATCATAACATATATGAGAAGAACATAACCCGTGTCATGCCAACAACTGGATTTTAAATAAACGTGTTAATTTCAGATGCAAAGACCCTATAAGTGAATCAATATTAACGCCAAAATATGCAATCTTTAATGACCTGACAACAGTATCGTAGCTATATCCCTTCTTAATAAGTCTATTTAAAGGTTTTGTTAGCTTCAGAGGTGAATACTGACATTTTTGTGCTTTATAAAGAATATTTCCATAAAAAATTGGATGTGAAATACCTGAACGTAATTTGGTTTATTGCTGTCAAATTTAAATATCTAAATTATAAGTATCTATCTGAATTCAATCAATACTGAAAGTTTTAGCTTTCTTTTACATATTAACTAGATCAAAAATTTTTACAGCAATACACCAACTACAAAACAACCTGGCAATCTGTAAGATCAATATATAACTGAGATAGCTGTATAGTTTAATAGAAAATCCAAGTTGATATGAAAAAGAAATAACAAAATTTAAAAGTGGGGCGAAAGATATAAAAAATAAAAAGACAAACAGACAAATAATAGTACAGATGACACAACATAGAAAATTAAAGACTGAGAAACACGAACCCCACCAGAAACTGGGGGTGATCTCAGGTGCTCCGGAAGGGTAAGCATATCCTGCTCCACATATGGCACCCATCGTGTTGCTTATGCTATTACAAATACGGTAAATAGACTAGTTCGGTAGGTCACATTCGTGAAAAGAGAAGGGTATTGTAGTTACGACACGAGGAACATATCCGATACCATCTGTGAAACGGTTATTCCATAAAGGTCAACCAACTCGTGATGGCGTCCGTAAAATTAATTGTTTGGTAGTACTTCGACCGTAAGATAGTATCTTATAAAGAAGTACTACATGAGCACATACAAATTTGAAATAAGACAGATTGTTCTTCCACGCGCTTCAAATCTAATTCAAAATAGTAAAAAAAAATGAATGTCAACAAACAACGTCTAACTTAGCTTTTTGTGATGTCATAACTAATTTAATGTGACGCCATGACTTTTGAATATTTTTTGTTTTGTTTTCCCTTGTCCCATTTTTGATACTGAAATGAATAAGAATATTATACACAAGATTTAGCTAGTTATAATTCTTTTTTATAACCACTTTCTTATGAAAAAGTATGTACAAATTTAGGAATATGACAGGTTTTTAGTTCCGTTGAATGATATATTCTAGTGTTCTGATTTGTAAGGTTTTGTGGCATACACCACCTTTTGAATTTTCGTTTGGGTTCAATTTTTTTTTGTTAGTTCGTTTTTGATGTAATGTATTACATGTATTACAAATGATAGTTTTATGAAATCAATAGGTCCTATTGAAAAATAGAGTTCAAAATAGAATGAATTATGTGTAATTTTGTCTTATCGACTATGATTTTGACTGATTCACTTGTTGTCCGTCGCTACTTTGATATTTTTACTTTTGTTATGTGTCCTTTTGTTATGAATTTTGATTGTATCTCTTGTTGTCTGTCTGCCTTTTTTTTTTTTGCATTTATCCCTTGTTGTCCGTCTGTTTCATATGTCTTGTGTTTGACTTTCTTGTTATCATTCTTTCTACTATGGGTTCGATTGTTGTTATTGTTGCCAGTTTTTCTACTTTTTTTTTGCCATTCGTTGTAATCCTTTTGCTTTTCTACAGAAATTCTAGTTCTTGCTAAAAACTTTGTACAAGTGATCTAGTCGATATTGTAAACTTTTTAATTGTTTGCATATCACGATAAAAAGTTGACCTAAATTATTTTGTCAAAAAACAATACTTCAGTTTGTCAATTTGTTTCAGGAACATACACCATCTATGCACCCACAAATGCTGCATTTGATGCACTTGGAACTGAACAAGAACTTCTTTTTGATAAAACTGTTCTTACCACTATATTGCTGTATCTACTGACAAATGGAGTTATAAGGAGATCAGATGCGCAGATTGAGCTAACAGTAGAATCGGTTGCAGGACTGAAAGTCAGATTTAATATTTACTATAACAAAGTAAGTGTAATCCGTTTATAAGGTTATTGTTTATGTTTTAAATTTTATGCAGACTGTTATTGCAATGGGTAATGATTTTATCTATATTTTGAGATGAAATCTATATCTATTGCTATATATTAAGTATCCTCTCTAGCTTTGGGAACCCTAATTTTATATGTACATATCAGACTGATTATTGTGTACTATTTACATTAAAATGTGAGCAGGATTTATATGTTTATAACAAGCAATTACCTTCTTGATTCTTTTGATTTTTTCTCGTATCCAAATACATTTGTACTGAATTGCATAACTTTACAAATAATTAATCTGAAACTTGTCTTATTTCATCTTTTATAAAAGGCAGTTACAGTTGAAGGTTCCAAAATTTCAAAGTTTGGACTGAATGCTTCAAATGGGATCGTCCATGTCATTGACAAAGTAATGATACCACCTACCGGAGGAATAATCAATCTCATATCAGGGAACAAAGATCTAAGCACATTTTTGGCATTATTCAAGAGAGCAAATATTACAGGAATTATTCAAAGTTAGTATCGTGTATTTAGTATAATGTTTTTCATTGTACAATTTACATTTTTCATAAATTTGATAAGATTTTACGTAGATCAACAAACAAACAAAAATAAACAAAACATCATCGATTCCTTACTACTTTGTTTGTTGTCTATGTGCTAAACTTCTTGGATTGATATGTATTCACATGGTATTGTTCAAGCACGGAATGCAAACACAAAAAGAATGTTTTTTTTTCAATAAATCATGATAATTTCTTAATCATGATAATCGCTATGCATTTTCAATGACAGCTTCATTTTTACACACAGGTGATCCTTTAACAGTATTTTCACCAACAAATGCTGCACTTGACAGATTATCTCCAAGAATTTTAAGCCAAATACATGATGATACAACTAAACTTAAAGGTAAATATGAATACATGTAGAATATTCGTATTTGTTTATTAACAACTCTATGTATTTCTTATTTAATTTTGTGGACATGAACTTAAATTTTCAAACAAACATATAGCTTATGTAACTTTGTGTTGTTGAATGTAGAATTGTAAACTCAATTCGTTACAAATTAAAAAGGATATATATATATATTTATCTATATACCTTGCCTACATAAATGTTACTAATTTCAGCTTGATAAACGTACTAGCATTTTTTCACACTAAACGAGTCAATTAGAAAAGTTTTTGGCTTCATATATATAGGTAACTGCAAAAATGTTTACTTTCTACTGTAGATGTTTAAATCAAAAATTTTAAAAGGACATTCGATACTGTAAAGTCGAAGAGACACATGTACTAGAAAACGACATGGCAAAACACTGACGAAAAAAGCACGTGATTCCACAAAATACTGCATAGAAAACTAATGACTGATCACTCTATTAACCCCACCTAAAAACGAGATCCTCTCTGGTTCATCGGAACGGTTGACATATATAGGAACAAGTCAATATAAACCTTTAAGTAGTGGCTCTTTTTGTTTGTTCCTATTGTTTGTCTTCTATTCTCTAATTTTTTAAATGTATTTTGGTGTTTTTTGTTTTGTTTTGTTTTCTTTGTGTGCTGTCAACGATGAAGGCATATCTGATGTCATCTACCAACAACAGCAATTATTGAATCCTTACACTTTGTATTATAGAGCTTTTAGAATATTATTTAGTACCACACACAGAATATTCACTTGGTTTATATAACAGAGAACATCTCAGAACGTTGGATAAAAAGAGTGAAACCATTAGGCTAAGTGTGTCAGGTGAGATATATTAAATATCACGGAAGCTGGGTTAAATATAAATATATATTATACTGTAGTGAATATTCCGGTTAACTTTGTAATTTGATTGGTTATCTAAACGGTGGATATGAGCCCATATCCAATGTAAAGGATGTCAATGCCTTATATCCCCTTCGCCTTACGGACGAGGAGATTGAAAACAATGACAAGAAATACGAGCCCATATCCCCTGTGAATATCCATAATAACATATCTTTTTAAAAGTAATTTAGAAAAATTAAGAAAAGGTTTTCATAATCAGATAGCAATCTTCATATATCTCATGTTCTGTAACAGAAGCTTTAAATTGAGAAGTATTCTCATTAGAAAAATGTGCACTACATTTTGTGAATATCGCAAATAGAAAAAATTCAAGGACTAATATACATTCGTTTAAGACTTTGAAATTGGTCTCAAGGGTACCGAACGTTTCTTAGATTTCAAAACCTAAATTCTGTTAATTTATATATTATATATCAATGATTTTAATTTATACTATATGCTAGCACTTTCAATGCTTTAACGAATCTTTAGGTGGGACTTGTATGCATAAGCCTTTTGAATAAAATAGTAGTTTTTTTAACTCACGTCATACCTAGTACCTACTAAATATTTAAACGAGATACAGGACCAGATCATATTGCAACAAAATTTACTTTAAACATGTGAGCCGAGATAAAATTTTCGTATTAAACTTCAGAGTTATAACACTTATCTTTTATTATTATATACGTAATATACATTTCATTTTACAGAAAGTACAGGAGTGTCAATAAACTCATATGCGCACGTTATAAAACCTGATATTACAGCTACAAATGGTGTTGTACATGTGATTGATCATGTACTTGTTCCAAAACGAATTTTGTATGGCTTTGGAAAATAATTTAATTATAATTTACAACAATGTGCTGAGTACACTATAATCTGTACACATGTAATTTATGTAAATACATTTTATTAACACTTACATATTCTATGTATGCTATATTGTCATTGTGTAATAATTAAAATTTAAATGAAATTCAATGTGTATTTTATTTAGTCTTCGTAGATGTTTGCATATACAGGATTAAAAATATCGCACTCTATAAAAGAGGGGCGGAAGATACCAGAGGAACAGTCAAACTCATAAATCGAAAATTAACTGACAACGCCATGGTTAAAAATGAAGAAAACAAACAGACAAATAATAGTACACAAGAAACAACATAGAAAACTAAAGACTGAGCAACACGAACCCCACCAAAAACTGGGGGTGATCTCAAATGCTCCAGATTTAGAAGGGTAAGCAGATTCTGCTCCACATATGGCAACCATCGTGTTGCTCATGTTATTACAAACCCGGTAAATAGTCTAATTCGGTAGGTCACATTCATGAAAAGGAAAGGGGATTGTAATTACGACGTAAGAAACATATCCGATATCATCTGTGAAACGGTTATTCCATAACGGTAAACAAACTCGTGATGGCGTCCGTAAAATTTACGAAGGAATGATTTCAACTTCACCATTTGGAACTCTTGGTTTAATAGCTTCCTTGTGAACAGCAACCCTCTACCAAGGAAATCATGATAGGAAATACAAGCGCGGGAATATCGTATCAATTGGGAGATATACTCCGTATGCAGGTGCTGCTGGAATATTGCTACATAAAAATGGAAAGTTCACAATTGGGAAGCTGAAATCATCTCGTTTGTCGTAAAGTTTTGTTTTCAACCGACCCTCATTGTCAATTTCTAGATGTAAGATTGAACAATAAAGTATAACAGTCTCCTGCTTTTGTCCTTGTTTATGACATAGTCGATGGAGTTATTTTTTCTTTTTTGCTTTTCAATTTAAACTATGAATAATGTTTATGAATAAGCTATATCTTACCCTTCTTACAATGCTATATGTTTAAGGATACATTATCAACAACAAAACTTGTACCGAAGCCATTTCAAATATGATAATAATAAGTAAATATCATGTGAAGCAATTAAAACGTATAATACCGATTGTTATGCTCACAACACGTATTTTATAACAAAGTACATTCAATGAGACAGTTTTTGAAAACAACCCAAGTAGTACGAAACCTAACAGTAAACAGATCAGATAAAACATGTTTAAAGTACCAATATCGCTCGCAAACAGCGCATCAAGTTGTTCATTAGTTCAAATATAATATCTTGGAGCTGTGATTCACACTACCAAATAAGATGTCAAGACACTAACAAATGGACTATCTCTCCCCTCCATAATTAAAGTGCATAATTTTCATATTCTATACTTCAAGAATTCTTTTATTTTTCTAATTGGTAAAACCTGTATAATTAACTAGTTAACAGGGTTTTCTTGCCATATTATAAACGCCCTCCTTATTTGTTTTACTGAACAAATGATCAGTATGCTGGAGTTTCTTATTGGCAAAACATTTGTCGAATTTTGTGGTATACTTTTACAACAAATTGATATTCCAATGGGAACGAAATGTGTGCCTAAGCTTGCAGACATCTTCTTATTTTCATATGAATCGTAGTTCCTTCATACTCTTGTCAAAACAAGAAGATCAAAGAAGCCAGATAATACAATTTCACATTCATATATATTGTTGATGTTCTTTCAATTAACAATCCAAACTTTCCGGATTGAGTTCTAATAATATGTGCTCAAAACTTAGAAATTAAAGAAATAAAAGACACGGATTCATTTGCCTTATTTTAGACTTATACCTCTGATTTGACAGATTGGGTCATCTCAATATTAGAATTTATGACAAAGAAGACTATTTTAATTTTGAAAGTATCATTCCCCCCACCTTAGTGGCAAATAAACCAACTGCACCTGCATATGGGATATATATTTGAGAACTCATTCGGTATACAAGAGCTTACAGCTGCTACTCAGACTTTGTAAAACGTCCCCAGTGTTTAAGCAGAAAGTTGACGAACCAGGGTTATGCCAAAGAACTTCTCATCTTAAAAATTTCATCGGATTGTACCGAGACCTTCTTAATAAATATCTTGTAAGATATATTGTAGGTACTGACGTTGATTTCACCTGTATGACATGTTACAGTGTTCTCTTATGTGTCTTTTTTTCTTATTATTATTTTTTTCCACTATTTTTGTCCGGAGCAGTCCTGGGATTTGAATGGACCAACGTTGATTGAACTATGCTATAATGTTGACCACCATGTGAAGTTGTCCCCTGACTTTGGAATGGACAAGATGACCATGCTTACTAAAATGCGAAAATTTTTCAAAATTCTTAATCTTTCATCATAAGACAAAACTGGATGAAACTTGGTACGCCTAGATGTGCAGATACTATTTAGAAATTCAAAAATGACCATCATTGTCATAGAAACAGGACTAAACTTTAACATTGACCCTATGGGAAAATACATTTAAGCTGCATTTTCTTAACCAATGTTGGATCACACCGAATGAAACTCTATGGATATGTTACATGGCATTTGCCAATCTGGCTTCTGTCTTTGGAATTTTGGAATTGGTAACCGTTAACATGGAAACAGCAGAAATTTCAAAAACTTCAAAATGCTCCAAATTTAATGAAACTTTACAAAAATGATAATTTGCATGTGTAGATGTGCTATTAAACTTTGGAATTTTCAAAATGGCTACCGTTACCCTGACAATGGGGAGACGAGGGTGCCATCCGTTATTGCACGCAATTACAAATCTAGTTAATTGTGTTATTTTGCTATGGTACAATTAATTCTTGTCTTCCGATTTTCCTAATGTGATTATATGGTTTTTTTTTCGTTTTTTTTTCTTTCTTGACATGTTTTTGTTTTTGTTTTTATAGTGATTAAGATTATAAGACACTGTTGACTGCTGTACCCCTATTGTTGACGTGTATACCAATTATGTGTATAGATATAAGAAAATATGTTCTGAGTGCCATCTAACTCTCCATCCAAGTCACAATCTATAAAAGAAAACCATTATAGGTCAAAGTACGGCCTTCAACACGAAAGCAAGCTAAAAAAAAGGCTCCGAAAATGACTAGTATAAAACCATTCAAACAGGAAAACCAAAGGTCTTATATAAAATACAAAAACCGAGAAACGAGAAACACATATAAACCACATCAACAATCGACAATCACTGAACATCAGGTTCCTGACAGGTGCAATCAAATTGGCGTGTTCAAACGTTTTGATAGGCGCCAACCTTCACCTAACCTGAAACAATAGTGTAACCTCACAACATAGAACGACACACTATAAAATATCCATTCAAATGGCTTAGCTGAATCAAAAGACATATTAACCAAATCAAGTGAAACAACACTGACCGAAAAAAATTGATCTATGACAAAACGTAAATACAAAATTAATAAGAAAAAGGGGGGATGGGGTAAATGTAAAGATAAATTTCAGAAAGAAACCATAACCTTGGACAGCATGCCGCGAGAAGAAATAACGTACACAGGTATATTTAAATAAATTTGTTGTCAGGTATATGGAGTACGGAAATAAGTTTAATCGTATTGGTCATAGTCATACTAAACACTTATCAAAGATGGTATAAAGTAAAAATAGTGAGAAGAGATAAAACACTAAAGAAAACATTTAATAACAAAAAATACTTTACAAATTGTATCAACAGAACAGGTCTAATTAACACGAAAGTACGATTTGAGGGTATTCGCAGTTACTGAAAGCTAGTTAAAAGCCAAATACAATTAATAATAAAATGTGTTTGTTTATGTTCACACATTGTTGTCAATGTAATGGAATTTAATGCGACTGTCATACAAGTGAGAGGTTAAACTAGCTAAAACACCTGGTTTAATCCACCGTTTTCTACATCAGAACATGCCTGTATCACATAAAAAATATGACAGTTTTTATCCATTCGCTTGATGTTTGTGAGCTTTTGATTTTGCAATTTCATTAGGACTCTCCGTTTTTAATTTCCTCCGTGTTCGGTAGTTTTGTTATATTACTTTTGATACATCGTTCCTGCAAATTATCACTAATATTTTCTATTAGTTGTAGTCGCAATCTAATCCTTGTTTCCCCTTTTACAAATGCCCGATAATGACTTGTCATCGAAATTGTCCTGTCCAATAAAGACTATGATCGACAAGTGTCATTGGTTGAACATGAAATGCTGCTTCCCCTTCCCATCACGTGGATCAACCCCATTCTTTTTGTTTAATTTCAAACAAGTTTTATTAAGTTCTTCAAAATTCAAGTATTATTCAGTTATCTGTGTTAAATCTAAATTTATAGCTGTCAAAGTTTTACTCTGTACACAGAATTGTGTATTTTCCAAATCCAAATTGAAGCAAATATCTTAATGGGATTAGAACGTGATTTATAACATGAACTACACTGTTAATTTCTATAATGTCCACCTGTACCACGATGGCATTATTCACAGTTACACCTCCTGAAATGTAATCGGTAAAGTATGGTAATTGTTTTTTTTTCCATATCAGGAGTAAGTTGTTCATGATCTTCAAGCATATCAACCAGGTAGAAGAAAAATTTACATCAAATAAATCGGTTAATTATATTTCCTGGATGGTTAACTAACACAATAAGTTTAAAAACATTAGGTGTTAAAATCAGATTAAATTTAGATTTTGTTTTTATAAAAGACCAAACCTTATGTAGCTTAGAAATTTACCGGAATAATACGGTTTGTGAAGCCATCTAGTTTTAGGTTTTCTCTTTCAATATATACGATATTCCTGGGCTTGTATTTCCTATCATGCTTTACTTGATATGTGATTGCTGCTCACGAGAAAGCTATGAAACCAACAGTTCCAAATGGAGATATTGAAAGCATCCCTTCGTAAATTTTACGATAGCTTTCACGAGTTGGTTGACTGTTATGGAATATCAGTTTCTCAGTTGATAGC